AATGAATCTATCCAGCCTCTATCTTAAAAACAACTTAAAAGAGGTCGTTTGGCCAAAGTTAGTGATAAAAAAAAAAAAAAAAAATGAAAACTAAGTTCATTTTCTTCAGAAAGTCATTCATTCCTGTAGTTCACTGCTACTAACAAGCAGGATTTTTTTTCTCCTGATGATGGCCATTCTGACCAAAACTAGTCGAGGAATCTAATTGAAATAATAAAACAAAAAACATTAATATACAACCCAGTGTGTCTGACAATTTTAATTTTTCAATATTTTTTATTGTTCAAAACACACACAGACATTATATATATATATATATATATTCTGTAATGTTTAAATTTTTTGATGCTGCAAGAAAATATTTAACAATGTAAACTTCTATTTTTTTTAAAAGAAATTTGTTTTATGCTATATAAATTCTTTTCTCATTAAAACAAATGATTGCACTTTCCATTTATTTTCTGTAAATTCAATAAAAACAAAAAAATAGAAAATAAAAAGGTGTAATTTTTAACCAATAGAAGCTTTTGTTGTTTTGTTTTTGTTTCATTCTCTTTCATGCACAAATGTCTATCAAAAAAAAAAAAAAAAAAAAAAAATCTTCAATGGTTTCAGAAGAAAAATGTTAGCAAATAACTGAAGTATAGGAGAGACTTATGACAAAAATTAATTCAACAGTCTACAAGAAACTACGACAAACTTCAGCTGTGAAAAAATAAAATAAAAAATTATAACTTTATTAAAATTTGCTTTAAATGTGATTCATGTGCCAAAAAGAAGAAATATGGATAATTTTGCCTTACCAAATTTTTAATTCTAATCAAATTTGAAAATGGTCAAAATCAAAATGGCATTAATAGTTTGTTTTTTTTTTTGTTAAATTTGATCTTACATGCCAAGTGGCATTAATTATGTCCTCTTTATTTAAATTTATTACTTGTCTTCATTTTGTCCTCAACAATTTTGAGACTAACGTTTCCTTTCCAGAAATTATATTTAATTCCTGGAGAATCCCCATTGTTCTACTGATGATCAACATACAGAGAAGAAAGAAAATGTGACTGAAAAAAAAAATAAAAAAATAAAAAAATATTGTTCGAAAGATTGTTTTGTAGAAGAAGGCATGATGGTAAGCAAGTGAAATTATCAAAATTCAATAGTGAAGTGATTTTAATCCATATCACTGTCCCAGTATTTTGCAGTCTTAAAGCAAATTAAACTAAATAATTAGAATTTTAACAAGCAATTTGCAGAACTGATTTTAGCATGTCACTTGAACTGTTTGGGAGGAAGTGTGCATGCTATATAAACCAAATAAGATAAACAACACTGTTTTTGTTGTTCTTTTTATCAATAGGGACACTAAAATGAAACAGAAAAAATTATTGAAATTCCATTCTGTATCAAAGTGATGCTCTTGAACAAGACATTGTTCTTGTGTTAAAGTTGCCAAGATCTTTTTAAACATAGCAGGTATTGATTTTAAATACTTCAGCTTCAGATGCCAGCAGAGCGATGACAAGACACTTTCAAAAATTTATCAACTTCATTAGCACATCTTATTAGTCAAGGTTTCATTTTAATCATTTTCAATAATATAAAAAAATCTATCATATTTAATAAAAATATTAGAAATAATAATAGACCTAAAAAAGATGGATTAACACTTTCACTGCTGTGTTGTTGCCTGGCTGCACTGACCTGTTTTGGGAAAAAGAGGAAAAAATGTCTATTTGATGAGCATTTAGACTCTGGTAGTTAATTCTCATGAGTGCGACTATTTTGGTTAAGATTCAGTACTCTGCAGTACAGAAAAAGGTAAACATCAATCTAAAAAATATGTCACGAAACAGGTTGTATTGTATGCTACTACGTCTGTACTAGTTTGGAAATATCACTAAGAGCTTGTTAGTTCATAACACAAATGCTAGGGACCAACATTTTCATGGGGTCTTGAAGAGATACATGTTGACAGCAAGTAGAGAAAGTTTCATAAAGACAAGTATTTCCATAACAGTCAACATGTTAAAAAAAAAAAATTATCTAGTCTGATTCAGACCTCAAAATTAATTCTATTCAATCTGCACCTTAAAAGAACTCTCTTCAATATAATGAGTCTTAATATTTGTTTTTAACTTGTTTGTGCTACATTTTATTTATAAAAATAGTGAAGACAGATCACAAAATCATTATTGTTACCAAATTGTCCCTTTGAGGCCAATGTTTCTGTTGATAAAGCCACACAACCTTTAAAAATATTTGTCATAAAATGCTTATACACCATGATTTTTAATCAGGTGGTACTTTTCAAAACTCTACAATACCACCGGATTCAAACCAGTGGTGCCGATTCCTTAAATACTATATCAGGAAAGAGGGAAAGTAGTTGAAATGACAATTTTTAATAGGCTATACTGGGGAGAATATTTTAGTGACTGGATTTCTTTCAATTTGTCAACAATTCTCATAAAGTAACCCAATTTTTTAGAAAGATAAAAAAAAAAAAAAAAAAAAAAATGTAATTCAGTAATCAGCGTGTTAAATGATTACTTCCCTTTTATAAATTACCCTGAATAACAAGTGATATACTATCAAATGTTGGTAGAAATATTTTTAGTGCAAGTTTCAGTATGTTGATGAGGACCAATAACTTGAAGAAATTCATGTGTATCAGTCCAAATTAATTGGCTGTAGAAGTACTTATTGAAAGTGAAACATATAACACAGTACAGAAGACATGTTGGAGGTTAGGAAAATGTAATTTCAAAAAGATTGCAGTTGCACAAAATTGGGATTCAAGAAAAATCAGTGTTCATATACAGTACTCAAATTCACTGATATTTTAGATTACATGCACACATGTTAACTACGAGTTAATTCTGAGAAATTTTTACACATATATGTATGTTGGTTTCAACCATATAGGCATAATTGCTAAAAATATCCCCTCCCCAAATTTATAGACAAATTTTACAGATGCATGCTGGGATTTTCTTACTAGCCAATAAGATAGATTACTTCTTGGTCTTATCTGACATTTTTATTCTTTCTTGTCTTGAAGTTAAAATGCTACAATGACTTGTCTGTATACCTTTTGTGTGTTAACACTATTTTTTTTTTTGCCTTATTACAATATATGCAAGCCAAAAGTAGACAAACATTGTCTACTTTTGGCTTGCATATATTGTTTTTCCTAATATTTTTACCCTGTTCTTTTCTTTGTTATTATTTATTGCAAACTTTGTTGGCCATTTTTGCCAATTACACTTAATCATGGCTAATTTCTCTTATATAAAGCACAATTATTGCATCTGAGTCATATCTCAATTTCCATTAAATTGGGGTACATAAAAAAAAAAAAAAAAATGAGAGTTTTATTGCATTTGTTTTATATAGAAAAAAAATAAAATAAACACTTTGGAATTCCATTATAATAATCAACAAAAGATGAGAAAATTGCAAATTAGACTTTCCTTTAGTCACCACTGACCCACCTGCAGATAGAACATTGGAATGTATTATTTCAATGCATACAACAAAATCTTCAACAATACAAATGAATTTACACAATGGTTCCCAGAGAGAAAGAAACTGTCTGACCTGGAAGCGAAAGATGGAAGGAAAGAAGGAGAAAAATGGAAATGGTAGGGGGTGGGGAAAGAGGGAATGACCAAAGAGAGGAGGTATGAAGAATTTTTGAGAGTCAAGAATTATGGATTTAAAAAAAGAAACTTCTGTTAAGCAGACATTTCAATATAAAAAAAAAAAAATTTAATTAGCAAAAATGGTCAAATTTCAATAATTTGTAAAAATACTCAAATACACATATACACGTTCTAAAACAAAAAAACATTTTACAAAAATTTAGCTTTTGATTTTTTTAAACTTCACTTTTTCTTATCTTTATTATTCTTCTTGTTAAACTGATATAAAAATAACTTTTAGTCAACAACACCATAAACTCCAGAACATTCTTAACAAAAATAAAAAAAATAAATAATCTAAAAGGTCTTATTGCTTATAAGAGTCACTATCATTCCAAGAGTAGCTTGGACCATAATATAGCAAGTCATCAGTATCAAAGTACCATTTTTGTTTTAGTATCTGGTTCTGTGCAAAATAATAATAAAAATAATAAAAAATAAAAAGACTTTTCAGTCAGTACAATCCTTGAAAAAGGACTGTAAACTGGAGTCATCAAAACAATCTAACAAAAACACATACAAAAATGGGGTCATGCAATATTTGAAATCAACATCATTCAAACTTAGGAGAAAGGTAAATATGTTTTTGAGGGGGAAAAAGAAAAAATACAAACAGGATTGTTTTGTTAAAATTCAACAAAAACAAAAAAAAAATAAAGCCCTAATAAACAACAGATGTGATTTTGAGTGTTGATAGGGTGAATAAATATGAAATCTAGTTTAATAATAAGGAAAATAAAAGAGAAGAAAATGAAAGCTGATGAGATGACATGAAATTCTTCCCAACAATCTCTGCAAGTCCACTGATAACAAGACCAAGTTTGTTTTCTATCACATCTGATATGTAATATCATCAGGATAATTACTGGCTACATCATCATCATCAATTTAGAAATTGTTTTGAATCCCTATTCAATTCACCGTCTGAGGGAGACAAAAACATTTCCTGTGATATTTGCTTTTTTTTTTTTTTATAAGTGACAAAATTTTGTTCTAACGACCATCAGGAGAAAAAAAAATAAAATCTTTGGATAGTGGCCAACTTTTTAAAATTTTTTTTAGAATCTAGCATTCAATTGAAAAATGATTTAATAATTGTAAATAACTTTTGTAGCTTATGGAGTATAATAGATTTAATAAACATTAATTTCTGTTTTCAAAATAAACTTTTTAAATTTAAAGACTTTCATTTGTAATTGAACATGAGAGTGATTTAGGGAGCACAAAAAATTAAGTGAAATTGTAGCTGTTGTTCTTCGGGGAGTAAAAATTTACTTAATGTGTGAAACTGAAATCTCATTTCGTAAGTAGGATATGGAGGAGGGAGGGGGAAGTGGAGGGAAGAAACGGATGTAGGGATGAGAAGGAGGGGAGAGGGAGGAGAGGGGGAGAAGGAGGAGAGGGGGAGAGAGGAGGAGAAGGGGAGAGGGGAGAGAGGGAGGAGGGGGGAGAGGGGAGAGGGGAGAGGGGAGAGGAGGGGGGAGGGAGGAGAGGGGAGGGAGGAGGAGGGGGAGAGGGGAGGAGGGGGAGGGAGGAGGGGAGGGGGGGAGGGGGGAGGGGAGGAGGGGGAGGGGAGGAGAGGGGAGGGGAGAGGGGGGAGGGGAGGAGAGGGGGAGAGGGAGAGGGGGAGAGGGAGGGGGGGGGAGAGGGGAGAGGGAGGAGGGGGAGAGATGGAGGGAGAGATGGAGAGGGAGGAGGGGAGAGAGATGGGGGGGAGAGATGGAGAGGGGGAGAGATGGAGAGGGGGAGAGATGGAGAGGGGGAGAGATGGAGAGGGGAGAGATGGAGATAAAATACCCGAAAACAGGCAACGAATGCAAACGTAACCTGCTTAAAACAGTTTCTTCACAAGTTTAAAAAAAAAAAAAAAAAAAAAAAAAAAAAAAACAAACATTAATTCTTAAACGTGTCAATAAATCCGTTTTCATTGCAGAAGAGTCTCTGTAAAATAACTGAACATTTTCTTCATACACAGATTGCAGATTATTGCAACTGTGAACCATGGACAACACTGAAAGGATGGCATGTTAATGGCTGGCTATGTTGAATGAATGGGATTACTATATCCAGCCATTTATGGTGAGGACGCTGTTAGCAACTTTCAATAGTCATTCCTTGTAAGTTTAATTTTCACCAAGCCATTGTAAACCATTGAAAAAAAGCAAAGAAAAAAAAAAGCGAGTCCTGGAGGCGATTATGTCTCTCCACAGTTTCTTTTTCTTTATTATCTTTGAATTGGCATGAATTCTTGGGAAACGTAGGTGGAATGTTTCCCATTTACCTTCTCCACAGTTTGAATTTAAACATTTTCTTTCTCTTAGATTCATTACTACTCAAGGCTAGAGGGTTCAGTCTACCTTCCAATTTAACTGGAGGAAGAAGAATTGGATCCATGCCTTTCCCCAAGGGCATTGTGCAAAAGTGAATGCCACCAACTAGCCTGAAATTGGAACACTGCTGACTAATTCTGCTTTCTACACCAACATCCGTTACACTACTTGCACATTGACTTAGCCATTAGTTAAGCGAATTTTAGAACACATATTCTCAGAAGAATGCAGGTGTTTGCCCTGTCTCAGATTTCCAAGTGCATAGGTTGTTTTAAAGCTTCTATCAAGCAAGGTGGTAATTTGCTAACTGAGAGTGATTAATATTTATTTTACATTGCTCAAAAGGGGATCCAGAAGTGTCAGAAATAGGCATCTAGTTTTCAGAGTCATCCTGTAGGACCAAGACAAAGGAATATTTGCTTAATCAGGGGAAAAGAAAAAAAAAAAAAAAAAAAAAAAGAGGGCAGACCATTTCCTTCTGCTACTCAAATTTAGTAAATGATTATTAGTAAAAAACATTTTTTTTTAAACGTTCAAAGATTATAATATATTCAACTTACCATTTCCAGGGCCAATTTGTGTCCTTTTAATGCAGCATAATGGACTGCATTGTAGCCATTTCGATCCCGCAATCCTGGCTTGGCCTCATATTTCAAAAGTAACTCAACCACCCTAAAAAGAAAGAAAATAATTACATAAATAAATTAACCAAATTACGCACGCCTTGCTGCAGGTTATATTTTCCTTGTAAGAAAATGAGGATTGATTTCAAATCATTGTTAAAATTTATAGAGAAAAATGATGCATTTCAATGTTACTCTATGATCTTGCTGATGTGACCTCCATCTTCTGGCTTTCTCCTACATTTTGGTTAGGAGTCATTAGGAGAAATAAAGTCTACACTAAAAATAGGCATGAAGGAAGGATAAGAGAAGTAAGGCAGGAATTAAGATCCCTTAAGAAACAATTTAAGGCTGCATGTGAAGAAGAGTGACCAGCCCTTTCAGAACTGAGAGATATTTTAAGACAGAAACTGAAAGACCTGCAAAAAGCAGAAGGACATCGTTGCTGTAGGAAAGAGTAGGCCAGGAAGAGGTCTTCGTTTATCTCCGACCTGTTTGGTTTCACCAGAAGACTTCTGGGAGATAAAAGGAGCGGCAGATTAGTATGCCCAAAAGACACGGTGGATTCCTTTTTGAAGAGCTCTTTTAGGGATCCAAGAAGGAATGAGGAATTAGGATTTAATGATCACCTCATTTAACCCAACCCCCAGAAGTTGAGTTCGACACGAGGGTGCCAAGTTTGAGTGAAGTCAAACAGATAGTAATGGGGGTTAGATCAGCTTCGTTGCCAGGTTCGAGTGGCGTGCCTCACTTCATGTATAAGTGTTGCCCAGGTCTTCGCATGAAATTATGGAAGATCATTAAAATAATTTGGCAGCGAAGTAAAGTTGCATAACAATGGCGATACGCAGAAGGTGTTTGGATCCCAAAAGAAGAGAACTCAAGAAATATCAAGCAGTTTCGATGTATCTCGTTACTGAGTACAGAAAGCAAAATATATTTTAGTGTGATTTCCCGACAGCCATCAGCTTTTCTGCTAAAAAATAGCTTTATAGATACAGCAGTACAAAAAGGAGGAATCCCTGGTATGCCTGGCTGCGTTGAGCATACAGGAGTTTTGTCACAATTAATAAGGGATGCAAGGAGGAATAAAGGGGACCTGGCTGTTGTGTGGTTGGATTTGGCCAATGCTTATGGCTCCATACCACATAAACCCGTGGAAGGTGGTTTAGTTAGACATTACGTCTCATGTAGTATCCAATAGCTTATCATGGATTACTACAGTCAATTCCATCTAAGAGTTTCATCCGGTTTGGTTTCTTCAGGCTTGCATAGACTCGAGAAAGGAATTATTACAAGCTGTACATTGTCAGCCACACTTTTTGTTCTCGTGAAGTCCGCTGAGGTGGAATGCCGTGGCCCCGTTTCCAATACCAGAGTTAGGCAACCACCCATCCGTGCTTACAGGGACAATCTTACAGTCACTACACATTCTGTTACAGGCTGTAGATGGTTATGCGGTTTAGAGAGACTGATTGAGTGGGCAAGAATGAATTTCAAGCCAAGCAAATGTAAATCAGTGGTAATAAAAAAGGGCCGGGTGGTAAACCACTATATCACAATAGAAGGGAGAGCCATCTCGACATTGGCCGAAAAACCGGTTAAAAGTCTAGTGAAATCTTTTTGTAATGCTCTGAGGGACACATCAGCCATCGAAGCTATACACACTGATTTTCACTCGTGGCTGGCAAAAATAAATATATCTAGATTGCAACTAAGGAACTAGCTATCACAGATATGGGAGGGGGGAGGGAGGGGGAGAAGGAGAGAGGAGAGAAGACAGAGAGAAGACAGAGGGAAGAGAAGACAGAGGGAAGAGGAGAGGGAGGGAAGAGGAGAGAGAGAGAGAAAAGGAGAGAGAGAGAGAAAAGAGAGAGAGAGAAAAGGAGAGAGAGAGAAAAAGGAGAGAGAGAGAAAAGGAGAGAGAGAGAAAAGGAGAGAGAGAGAAAAGGAGAGAGTGAGAAAAGAAGAAAGAGAGAGAGAAAAGAAGAAAGAGAGAGAGAGAAAAGAAGAAAGAGAGAGAGAAAAGAAAGAGAATGATGAGATGCACACAAAAAATTGGACTGATTTCAATTCCTCTCAGATTTATCTTGAAACATTAATTTATGATCAAGCATCATATTGAGAAGAGTAAGTTATTTATGTATTTACTTATTTAAAAAAAAAGTTCTTAATAAATATAGATATTTATGCAATAGAGAAAGTTTTATTAAATTTCAATAAAGAAGAATTGAATTTCCAGACATTATTCAAAAGCTGCTTCATCAAATGTTCAAAAAAATTTCTTGTCATTTTTTTATAGGAAGTTGCAACAAATTATAAAAACTTAAATTTTTCCATGAGTTAGACATGTAAATTAATTTGGCATTTATTTTTCTTTAGTTTGAATCATTTCCTGGTTTCAACTGAAAAGTCATTGTAATACAAACTAACAAGTGAAGATAAAATATTTGAAAAACAATGAAACTGACATAACACAAAAACAATATCTCTTTGATAGAGGTTGGTGAAAGCCAAACAATATTGGATAATTTATATTTTAATTTTCACTGGAAATCAAGAAAATTGTTCAAATTGAACAAAAATTTCTTACCAAAGAACATTCATTGTTTTTTTTTTAATTAAAGAACTTGTATAAATGAAAATTGCTGACAAAATACACCATATATAACAGTGAAAATAGCAAAAAGTGTGTGTGTGTGTGTATATATATATATATATATATATATATATATATATATATATATATATATATTTCATTAAAAAAAAACAGACAAAAGTACTACGGTTGAGCTTTTATTTAATTTTTCTTGTTCTGACAAAAGCTTTTATTTCTGGACAAAATTAATTATGGGAACTGTCCGAATGTTCTATATTTCCGGCGGCCATTATCAAGGATGATTCAATATCAGCTTAGTAGAGTGTTGTGTTAGTGTGTGGTAGATGTTTTAGTTTCGAATCACAGTTAGCTTTTTGTGGCTTTTTTCATAGTTAATATTGTTAGAGTTGGCTTTTTTTTTAATTAGAGCTTTGAACAAACAAACATATCTATGAGTTCAAATGCCCTTTAAGGAACTGCGTTCCTCACCAAACCGGACTCATAAATAATTACATCGGCTACACAACCACATGTTTATCCAGACGTCTTACATTACACCTATCTGATCACAGTTCCATCAGGACACATTTAAACACACACTCAGATTTACCCGACACTATTAGGAACATACTAGTAGAAAACACAAATATATTAACTGCATCCACTTGCAAAAAAGACTAAAAAATAATGGAAGCTCTAATAATAAAAAAAGAAAAAGCCAACTCTTAACAATATTAACTATGAACAAAGCCACAATGTGCTAACCGTATTCGGAAACTAAAAACATCACTACCACACACTGAACATACACAGAACACACACACTCTACTAAGCTGATATTGAATCATCCTTGATAATGGCTAAAGATATAGCCAAAAAAGCGCTGGAAATATAGAACATTAGGACAGTTCTTACACACTTTTGTCCAGAAATAAAAGCTCTTGTCAGAACACAAGAAAAATTAAATAAAAAAGCTCAACCGTAGTACCTTGTCTGTCGTTTTTAATGAAACATGCATAAAGGAAGGATTGCTGCCTAAATATACAAATAAATATATATATATATATATATATATATATATATATAATTTTTATTTTATAAAAAAATTTATAACATAAGTATGTTATAAAATCACTACAAAAATAATAATTTTTTTAAAAGTTTCTTATTAATCTGAAACTTTTGAAAACTATTTATTTTCTTTTTCAACACTTTCACTTGATAAGACACAGAGTGTTTGAAACAAATGGCTATTTTTGTAGTGATTTTATAACATACTTATGTTATAAATTTTTTATAAAAATAATTATATCTGCTCTACTTTGTATTGAGCACTCTTTTAAGAATAGTAATTGTTGGTTATTGGAATTCATTCCGTGTATACCAATTATATACTTTGGTATATATATACACACACACACACACATACATACATACATACTGCAAGGTTGTGCAGTTCTCTGCTCAAATGCAACAAAATTGACCCATTTTTGAAAAGAATCATCACAGGTAATGAAAAATGGATTCTTTACAAAAATTTAACAAGAAATTCAAAAAAACAAAACCATAAGAATATCAATTGTACTTACTTGGCGTCAGCATCAGCTGCCGATGCAAAGTGTAACGCAGTGCATCCTTGCTTGTCTTGGAGGTTAATGTCGACTCCAGCATTTATCAGAGATTGAACACATTGCTGGTGAATGTGTGCTGCTGCATAGTGTAAGGCTGTCCTGTAAAACAATGCACATTTTCTGACACAAGAACATCATGGATCATACAAAAATTGCAAAATAAAATTATTTACTTTACATAACTCACATAAGCAGAAAAGATTTTAATGAAGAGTTTACATTTATGCTGATACATTTTGCAAACAATATTGTAATTTTTGTTACATTTAATATTCAAGTTGGTAAAAATGAACTGCTTTGTGTTGTAGTTGCAATTTAGCCAATCTATTCTCTATAACCTTCTTTGGACAAAATATAATCCATAAGAACAGAGGTGGGGAAAATCTCTCTTCGCTGAAGAATGTTACCAAAGAACAAGTTTGTAGAATGGATTTCATGAAATGTCGTTATTACACAAAACAAAAGAATTCAATTCTCCAAAGATTGGAACATTATGAATTCTCAAAATTATGGACAAACCTAAAGAAATTTAGAATCGAGTTTTCCACAAATTCATTTTAAATGAGGTAGATCAAGTTCATTAAACCAGTTTGTCTTTTTTTTTTTTTTTTTTTTTTAAATCAAATTTATCCCATGCAAGGCAGTAAAGCCGCTAAGACACAAGGGATTATGAGTATAAATGAATTAGAAAACGAAAACATTATTAAGGAGCAAGAACAATAGAAGAGTCATCAGGAAGACATTAGATAACAATTGACATTGCATTTAAATTTTTGAAGATCAAAGTTGACTCAAAAGTGGATAAAGGCATTGGTTAGATCCAGTGACAGGACCCAAAGAATGTGAGTTAAGGCAGTGGAGAACTTTCAGAGTGAAAAACAGGAGATAACTGATATCCATTAAACATGGCACGTGGAACTAGAACAGTCTACCCCAGTGAGCGAAATAAAGGGTTCAGTTCGACATTCCAACCACCTGAAGAAGGCCAGAGCATACAACAGCCAAAACGTTGTAATAAATATGGCGGCAAAGATGAGGACAATAGTCCGAATAATGTAAATAATTAAATCTTATTTGATAATTATGCAAACTCAAATAGCAAAAGAAAGCCTTAACCCTGTGAACCATTTTGATATTTACTTACATAATTTGTGATGTGCCTTGAGGTGTAATGAATAATGGCTACTGCAGAAAGAAATGGCAACTTACTGCAGGAAAATCTTCTGCATAGTCTGTCATGAATTGAAAGAGACATGACCACCCAAGTGTGCATCACTTAACTGACTGATGTTTTGAAATAACAGAGCCCTGCCCTTACTCAATCTCTCTTTACTCTTTCTATTCTCAATCCGACTAAAATTAGGACTGTTATCAAATAAGTTTTCTTGTGCTTTCTTGTTCTTTTCTCTCTAATACTACAAGAGAAAACAACTAGACATTGCATAACCTGCTTGTATTACATCAATTTATTCCCCAACTCCACTTCTGTTGATGATTTAATTAGTTTCCAGAATGTTTTCTCATATACATCATCTAAAAGAAAGTCAGTTTTAGAGCTCAAACCTAGACACCATGTACCATGTATCTTGTAAATCTAATTAAAGATGTAGGGATACAAAAGGTGACTGTCTCCTTTTCGTTGAGATAGTCACATGATAGCCGGTGAGTGATATTATTGGATAGAGTGACAAAGGGTAGTTGCAATGTAAAGCCACAAAGGTAGGTCTTCCAGGCCTCATAAGGTTCAGAGACAGAGAGTGAGAGAGAGAAAATAATAAATCGTCGTAACTCCAGTTTTCTCTTCAAAAAATATTACAAGTAAGGATCCCCTTTTTTACACACTGTTGTTGCATATGTTATAATTTCTCTGCATGAGACACATATTTACGTATAATTTTGTGTGTGATATAGCATTATAAAAGTCTCTAAGAACAAAGCATGTTTGTAATTCCTTTTCCTTTCAGCCATTCTGTTCCATCCATCAAAAATAGTATTATATTGTGGCTATAACGATGCCCATAATGGCGGAATACAATGATTATGTTTTACCTCCATTTGCTGCTTTGTTACACCTTTACTGAACTTTCTTTTATTATATCCACTCTAAACTGTCTTACCTTCCTTCATTATCCAGAGCTACTTCATTGGCCCCATATGACAACAGCAATTCCACACAGTCGACATTACTAAAAAGAAATAAAAATTAAGAATTTATCAATGTAAAAAAAAAAATCCAAGTCATTTTTAATTATCAGAAAAGGACTCTAGTTAATTCTAAAGGCTTTATCACAATGGCTTGATACATTCTAGTATACTATCTTCAAAAATATTTTCATGACTATATTGTATAATATTAAAATGTTATATCTCTAATGATCCAATTTCTGTGCTGGTTATCATAAAACATGAAAAACTGCACAAATCATGGAACAAATTTCCAGTTCAATCAGTCTGCCAACTTCAGAGTAAATTTTATTTAATAATAAAATTAATTGACAAAAAATAAAAAAGAACTGCAGACAAAGAGTTGTTTTCTCTGAATTTTCTTAATCAGAAATAAGATTTAGTAGAGAAGAATCCTTGATTTGACTGCACTCTTCTCTATCAGCCATAGTGGTATACTGATAACAGATCTATAATAATCATCAGGCTTAGTGATAATTAGCATTTGCAAATAATTATATAAATTCAATAAATAAGAAATCACTTAATATCAAGTATTATTAAGAATGTTGTCAAATATAAAATTATAGCAATATATGAAAAACAAGAAAAATCTATTCTACTTTTACACAAAGGTTGATTAAGATCCTTAATTTTACTCATAAATGAAGATTCATTTTCAATTTTCATTTTATAATTTTTGGTCCATGCAATTATTCATCAAGTGCCATGACAAGGAAGAAGAATATATTGAAAAAGATATTCAGTATAATAAACATTTTCATTATTATTAATGTATCTACATATATGCCTAGCCATTATAAAGGTTGACAATAAGTAACTGTTTTTGTGACTACTTCCTGGATGGTATGGGGAATAATGAGAATTTTTTTTTCTAAGTGCTCACTCTCCCATTCACATCAACCACTTTGGTATCTACATGAGTCTAAGTTATCAACACCATCATGTCCTGACAATATATAAGAAAAAGAAAATCTTTCATACCATGATATATGCATGCCACAAGGAAGTGTTCATCACTGAAGGCATGAAAGAAAGGTAAAAGTGTTAGTGACCTTGGATTTCCAAAAATGGGCAGCTTCCAGGTATCTGCCTCCCACAACAACTGAGCTACAACTGTGCCACTCGGCGTGCTACACATCCCCATTGAGTCAAGAGAGGAGGTGTGGGGAGAGGAAGAGAAAGAAAAGTTGCTAACTAGGAATTATGAGTACTTAAAAAAATTCTGGGGGTAAAATTTTCCCATGTGGCTAACACAGGGTTAAGAAAAGAAGAAAACTTTCCCTACCCACTACAGGCAGCAGCATGCAGGCAGGTGCGTCCATTATCATCTGGCATGTTGATATCAAAATCCTGCATGGCACTATAAAGTTTCTTTACACAGTCAACATAACCATTTAACGAGGCCACATGAATAGCAAACATTCCACTACAGCCAGGCCTGAAAAAAAACACAAAATCAAAATATGAAGCAAAAAAAAAAAAAATTTTGATATCAGTAAGTACAATCTCTCTCTCATTTCCCTGAATCATTAATTACTATTGATAATAGTACAACAATGGTTCACAAAAATAGGATATACCATTTTTTACAAATAATTTTCATAATTCTTGCTAGAATTCCTTTAAAAGTAAAGTGTTTTCTCCTAAAAGGCATATCAATTCAATAAGCAAAAACTTGTATTTTACTGACAAACCAGGTTTTCTTTGAAACATGAAACTTTCAAAGTTTGAATATATCACAATAACAGTAGATATGCTTGTCTATAATTCAATTCACACACCCTCCCTAGTCTTTTGAACAGGTGTGAAGGTTTATCCGTTGTTCCCTGTTTAGGATTGGGTTTCTGGTTCCTTTTAAAGTTTTTATTCTCTTTCATTCCCAGTAGCCCCTTGCATCTTAGTGGCATTATCACCTTGCTTAGGATGAATTGATTAAGAAAGAAAGAACAAAAAAAAAAAAATTTCAACACAATTGTGAAGAACTGCATTAGTACATTAATACTTTGCTGTAGCACTTTTTGCATTTACTATTTCTTTAATTTGCTTTATTAATGAACCAATTAAACTATGACAATCCAATACGCATACTTCAGTAATGACTCACTTCAATTTGTTAAAATTTAATAGTATTTTCTTAATCCCCTCTTGATTCCCTATAAATTTTCCATTGGATTTGCATCTGGGCTGTTTGAAGGCTAATCAAGAACAGATATCCTCCTCTCCTTAAACCATTCTTTTGTAGATTTTGCTGTGTGGGGGTGGAGCAAGGTCATGCTGGAGATAAATTCATTGTCCCCCAAACTTGTCTAAGACATTCTAATAAACAGCCACATTAACTGACCTTTTCAAGAAAATAATTTTTTTGACTCCAAGCCATCACAGATTGATGGAATTGTACACATATTTTTCATGCATTTAGCATAGTTTCTCTTGTGTGACTTTCTCCAGAAACAGGGACAATGATCACTGAATGAATTAGAGAATTTTTGATTAATTCCAGAAAATAAGCTGGGACCATTGATCAGATTAACTCTAGCCCAGATTAAATGCTTCTATTTCTGCTTAAAATTTAAGAGTGGCTTCAAAATCAGTAACCTGGTGTCATATCCAAACTGATGGAGTCTCTAGATTGTTGTTGATCAAGGAACTGCTGTGCCAACATCATTTCAGGATTTGGAAATTTCACCATAATCGGCAAATCCAAATCCTATTCAGATGTTCCTCTCTAACTTTTGTCTTGACTCTGGAACCAAAGTTGAATTGTTATGCACAAGTTTGTCTCATTATCTTCAATAGAAACAGTAAACCATCTCTGATATAGACTTAATATTTCTTGGCATTGTTATCTTGAAGAAAGCAGATTGAGGGCATCCCACCTCAACATCTATAGCCTTTTGATTATTGCTAGTTTCCCACAATGCATAAATGATGGTATTTTCTATCTTAACTCTTGCCACTTATGAGACTGTGAAACAATATGCTGAACACCAAATATTCCACTCTTTTCCTACCAATATGTTGACATGAAGAATAATTATGAAATGACATATGTAACGGATTCATTTAGAAATACCAAATTATTTATATATAACAAATTGATACAATATTAAGAGTAAGCTATCCAAATTTTAACAAATTGGAGCAAGAAACATAAAAGTTATTCACAAAACAAAAAAAAGCACACATTTTTTAAATTGCTATAAAATTGATTGTTGGGAAACTTAAAATTACAAACAGACATTTGAACTTATCACTACCCTCCCACCATCCTTTTGAGTGGTTACAGGAGGGGATTTTGTGATTGGTGCTAATTTTTAATTGTGTATAAAGCGGTGATTGTTAACAAGGAATGTCAAAAGTTTATTCAGCATCTACAAATCTTTCAAGTGATCATTTATCTATCTGTATTGCTTTCAATTCTATTAATGTTCAGAGTTTTAAGCATTTCATTAATATTTAACATTTATTTAATGTAAATTTCTAACAGTCATAATGCTTTAAAGTTAAGATTCATATCATTAGTGGGTCAGAGTTGAAGTTATTGAATCAATATTTACTGATTTATGTTAATGTTGCACCGGACACAAGAGAATTACACCGGTTCTCACTATATATAGTGCCAGTAACACCTACCCGGTGTAAGCAGCGACAGTACTACAACTGCCTAGCTGAGTAGTACCCGTTTCCTACCTTTGTATCTGTGATGTTAAATACACTTGTTCTTTAAACCAACTTCGACTTGATTTTCTTATTTTTACTATTGTGCCACGACACAACAGATTGGCGACGTCGGAATCGAAACGATATCACTGCAGACAATCACCTAAAGTGATTGAAATACAAGGATTCGCAAGATTTTTACGGAAAAACACCTTCGTCATTTCGAACAGATATGTGGATACGCAAGGATTAATAGCAAATTAATTACTACAATAGTAATTTGGTGACATAAAAAAAAATTATTAGAAACAACCAAAAATTTGCTACCAAAAGTCTACAGCGTGAGAACGCAAATAATATTGTCAATTTTAGTTGAAAATGCTGACACAAAGGGTTTCGAAAAAAAGAGGTTCACTGTTTTTTTTGTTTCTTTACAAGAAACCAGAGTTTGTTTTGTCACGGTAAGATTTTTTTTTTCTCCTCTTCAAAGTTAAATGATTTGTCGAGTGAAAATATATATTCGCGTAAGTCATTTGTGCTAACAAAGACTGTTAAAAATTGAGTCATATTTGTGCAAAACCACAAAAGAGGTTGGAAAAAATTTTTGTGATTTTCCCATTAGTTGACACTCCTTAAAGCGACGGTTTTTTTTTTTTTTTTAGAAATGCATATTTCTTGTTTGTGTATTAGTTTAGCAAACTAATTTTAGTAAGCAAGCCTTGGGAAAACTGATTTGTTTAATACAAGTGTAAACTGTATGGTGCGTAAATTGAATTGCACCATGGACGAGAATTAAGAGAGTCTCTTCTTCAATTGTTTAAATTTCAAACGGAACAAAGTCTCGCATTGCAAAAGCAACAACTTCAACGACAACTTGAAAGTGAGGAGAAATTTAAAAAGAGTTGTTGGAACAACAGAAACGCGTCGAACAAATCTTTATGAAAACACAGGAGGAACAGAGGAAACTTCTGGAGGCAACACAGTTAATGAATGCAAGCGAGAATCATAACGCATTCTCCCAGACGGCTGTGTGGGCACGCTATTGAAAGTTTCAATTATAATCCAGAAGACGATGTTACGTTTGCTCATTTCTATAGAAGATATGAGGATATTTTTGTATCGGATTGCGTTACATGGACAGACGCTTCAAAAAGTTAGGTTTCTGCTAAGAAAATTGGGAACTGCCGAAAGCATACAAAGTTTGTGAATTTTATCCTTCCAAAAAGACCAGTGAGTTGAACTTTCAAGAGACAGTTACTCTACTAACAGAACTGTTTTCTACAAAAACTTCTCTTTTCACAGGAGATATAAGTGTATGAATGTCACTAGAAGAGAGGAAGATGATTACACTACTTATGCAAGTATTGTAAACAAGCATTGCATAACAACTTTAAACTGGAGGAATTATCATCAGATAATTTTAGATGTTTAATATTTGTGCAAGGGCTGGTTTTAGGTAAAGACGCTGAGATCAGGCGTCGTGTTTTAAATAAAACTTCAAAATGAGCCAATTTAAAACTACAAAGCTTAGCGGAAGACTGAACGGTTTGTTGTGTTGAAACAGGACAGTCGTGATATAGAGGAAAGCGGAGTGTCGCACATTAAAAAGGTCCATCAGAAGAAAAATTTAACTTCAAAAAATAACCAGAGGAAAAAACAGGGAAAAGATCCACCTGGACCGTGTTGGAGGTGTGGAGATAAACATTGGTACAATGAGTGTCCCTACAAATTCAAACAATGTGACAACTGCTACCGGAAGGGGCATAAGGCATCACATTGTAGGGAAAAATCTGGTAGAAAGAAGACATCCATTAAACTAACGAAAATTGAACCTGAGGAACGAAATATCCGGAAATTTGTACAGGTCAAAATGTTTAAAAAGAAAGTAAGACTACAGTTTGATAGTGGGTCTGATATTTCCATCATTAATATACAGACATGGAAGAAGCTTGGGAGACCCACTATGATTAAATCACATAAAAACAAAACTAAGGTCAGTGGTGAAAAAATCACCTTTGAAGGAGAATTATTGACAAATATTTCTTTTGAGAATAAGACCTAAAAAGCGAAAAAATTTTGTCATCAAAAATCAAATAACCTCTTTGGAACTGATCTGTTTGAAAAATTTAGACTATGGGATCTGCCTTTAAGCTCTTTTTGTCAAAAAGTTGAGGATGCGAATATGGAGGCAGAAAAACTTAAGAGGGAGTTAAAAGAGAATTTTCCAGACGTATTTACAGGCGGTCTTAGAAGATGTACAAAAGCGGTAGCAAAATTTGAAGTCAAAGAAAATGAACAGCCAGTGTTCAAAAAGAAAAGAAAGGTTCCATATGCTGCTATAGAACAAATAGACGGTGAATTAGAAAGACTCGAAAACATGGGTGTCCTCGAAAAATTGATCACAGTGAGTGGGCTACACCAACAGTTTACATTAAAAAGAAGAGCAAGGAGATTAGGGTTTGTGCCGATTTCTCAACAGGTTTAAACAATGCATTAAAGAATCACCATTATCCCCTTCTGAGCCCTGAAGAAATATTTGCGAAACTGAGTGGAGGGAAATATTTTTCTAAAATCGACCTCAGTGACGCGTATTTACAAATCTCAGTCGATCAGGAGTGTTCAAAGCTGCTATGCATCAATACCCATAAGGGATTATACAAGTTTAACAGACTTCCTTTTGGGGTCAAAGTCGCCCCTGCAATTTTTCAGCAAACAATGGACATGATGTTAAGTGGGCTGGACTTCGCAGTAGGGTATCTGGACGATGTGTTAATGAAC